CTTTAATAAAAACATCGGTATTCACGTACGTCAATTCCCTATCCACACCATCCCACTATCCATGCCATTCCTGATTTTTTTAGTTGGGATCATTTGCGGTCCCTATCGGGGATCATTTCCGGTCCGGGATCATTTGCGGTCCAATTTGCGGATCATTTGCGGTCCGGGATCATTTGCGGACCCGTACTAGTTTTCTTTTTGCCCCAGAGGTCTCCGCGTATGGGGACGAAAATTTCGCCGCAGCAGAAAAATCTCGATTTTTTAAGAACACGACTCGCAAAGGATAGCCCAAAAGTACGCAAAGGATTACCGAAAGTTCGTAGGGGGTCGAATAAACACACCGCGATCAAGTAAATTCTCTTCGAAATGGCGGAGATTCTAATATAGAACAAATTGAAAACGATGTCAAAGATCCTAGAGATGGATTTTGGGATAAAAACAACTCAGAAGGTATCGTAAGTAATTCTGAAGTACCGGTAAATCTCGATATTCGAGGCGAGTGTCGCTTCGTTCGTGTTCAAAAGTTTGTGACTAAATACTTCCGATCGCCAGTTCTACCTTTGGCATGTCGTTTATTCAGATCGCTCATTTGTGTTGAGTAATCTTACGTGGCTTAGAGCTCATGTCACGACTGGTGACTTGGCAGGAATCCAAAGGTAAATGTAAATGTTTTGCAGCGTTTTCGTTGTGGACGAAGAACTTGTCTCTAATTTGCATTATAGATTAGAGGTGACAGTAACGCGATACTTCTGTTAATAACCTGAGTATCAGGCCTTTCTTAGCAAGAGGGTAGGGGAAGGGGGGAATTGCAGAGAAAGGCCTTTTCTTTGCAGGGTGCTTCCTCTTCCTACCCGTCTCAGAAAAAAATCGTGACACAAAGTTCCAGGTGATCTTCTCAACTGCTGTTCTGCTTTCGAGATACGTTTGCTCTTATAACAAGAAAAATGATTTGTTTCATCATCAAATTCAAACAGCAGAGTGGTTTGACATAATATTTTGTTTCCCTATAATTTTTTAACCATTTTTTCTTAAGTTCTACTGAGTGAAATTTTTGTAACAGAAATATTAGTTCCCATGAAGGAAACTTTTTTTTTCAGAAAGTACTTTTTGTGATCTTTCAAACGAAAACTCACGGCTATCTGGAATGGAATGAGTTAAATCGCCCAATGGCGAAGAATGGCTTTTGTTTTAAGGACATATACTTACTTACTGGCATAAATTAATTTGTCACACTAGAGCTCCCATCTGGAATCTCTATGAACTCTAATTGGTTGCGGTTTATCCCTTACAAATGCTAATTTAACCGTAATTTCTTAACCCAGTGGGACTGAACCGTCCATCAACTGTACAAGCAGTCAACGGACAATAGAGTTCCGAGCGATCCCGATCGCTTTTTAAAAAAGCTTTACTCGTTATGATCATATAATCATTTGGTTGTATCTCATTTGCGCCGGGCAGCCGCGCTAGATCTTGATTAAATGCCGGTAGTCTTTCCCCGAATCGGCTTTGTGGGCTTAAGAATTAATGTTATCAACGGTTTCAAAAAAATTGTAAGCCTTCTGTGGCCTGCAGGAACCAATCTTGTCCTCTTTCCAGACTTCAGTGACCAGAAGCGGCTAGTTTTACCTATTTTCGAATTTCTCACACAATTTCTGTCTTTGCTCATTTCTGTTTCATTCTGTCCCATCCAGAACCGATCAATCATTCGCGCGATACTCGCAAGACTTTAGCGCGCTCTCCCGCCACGTTTGGAAGTTGCCGAAAATCGTAATTACTTTATAATCACTCGCACATCAAACATGAATCACCATGTTAGCTTAAAGTATGTCATCAGTGACAGTTGTACTGAGGGAAAAAGGATCGCTCGTAGGTTTTGATCGAAGACTCGCAGCGCCTCGAGACATAAATCTTGCGCAAACACATATTCTCATTGTCAGTGTCTAGCATAAAAAGCCACTAGAAAAAGAAATGGAATTTATCTTTTGCCAGGTTAAAGAGATATAAAAGCGAACATTGCCGATCAAACTTCTAAGCTAAGGCCTATTCCAAACGTCGTGCTACTGCAGTGACGAAGTCAAATAGCATGACCAAAGAACGGCAGTGGTTTTAAACGTCGAATTTAATTCAGTCGCCGAAGTTTGCTTTGCCATTTTAGATGATAGAGAGCAACGGCAGCTGATGTAACAGGCTATGAATTCAGTTCGGCTCCGCAAGTTAAATCGCTCACAGACCTCCGAATATTATTTACGTAACAATTCCAAGATAGATAAAATGTTATGGAGCGTTTTCACTGTGACGCAATAAAAAAAATAGAAAATCGTTTGTTTGATTTGTGTTTAGAAATTTTACTGACAACCCGACTGGAAGAAATATTAGTTGGTAAATTTCGTTGAAGGCACTCTTCATAATCACGCATGCGCTGATCTTTCGGACTAACAGCAGTAACCACAATGATGGAAAACCATTAGCCGGCCTAATAAATAGATTTTGCAACAGTCAACTTTTTCAAGATTGAGATCGGCCAGAGGCCTTCTATAAGGGTTCCAAGGTTTGCATCAAATTCGCGCAGCGTTAAGGTGGCTGAACACAGTTTTTGATACCTGTGTTTCATTCACCTTTTTCTCTAAAACCCTTGATCCCTCGGTCGTCAAAAATGGCAGCAAGCTA